ACGTCGATTTATGGCAATTTTTCAATCAGATTTCAATTCTTTCTCGCCCTTTACCCCTCCTCAGCAGACAGTTTCGTATTGATTTTGCATAAAAAATGAATCCCGCCCGCCCCCAATGCAATGCCGATGATGATTATGACGATGGGTCGCTGTGACAATAAAATGTCCGCATTGCCCATCCATGGCATTCGCCATAAACTGTACGTATAGATATAAGTGCATGAGCATAAGCGCTTTAACTGCAGCTTCGTCAGTCCGTTGGACAGCCTTTATGGACAGTGCGTTGCGTAACTATAATGCAGTGAAAAGTTGCAATTTTATATATGCTACGGCTATTAACAAAAGCTCTAAATGACGGGGATTTGAAACTATTAAACTAAGAGCATAGAGAGTAATTTAAAGGGACATCAAAATGGATTTGTAGTTCGGATCTTCTAACTGCATGACGTCATTTGATAAGCACATATGTACTGATAAAATCTATTCGACCCGAGTTATTATAATAATGCTAAAAATTAATAGATCTGCGATGAGTTTACTGTAGTAAAGATTGAAATTCGACATTAAATTATTTTTTTTCTTTTTTTTCTATTTTTTTCTGCTTCAACTACGCGCTGCTCCTACTAATCCTTCGTTATGGTTATAGCATACCATATAGTGGAGCCTACCAATCGATTGTCATTACAGTTAACTTCTAATTTCCAGATTCACTGTATATTATAGCCAAAATCAGCTCAACAATTGACCCAGTTAACCACACAGCCCCACACACACAGAGCCCCAAAGCCGCTGGCATGCATTTTCGGTAGGGTTGTGGGGTCTAAATTTAAGTTTACCCAAACGCAACCGAAAGCTTGACACAAGTGAACCACCTCCGCCTCCTCCTCCTCTCAATACTCGTACTCGTTCAAACACACATCACCCAGTACGGTACAGTGTGCCCATATTTGTTTAGCTTGATTACAGACCAAATGTGATTTAAGGCACGTTAAATACACACAGACACGCCCCCACGCAGATACTTGTCCAGAAAGATCCTTCCGTCTGCAATCAAGGCTCGGACAACAAAACAACAATTTAAAGGCAGTCAGACGGAGAGCGAGCGGACACTAAGTGGAGTCGAGTCGTGTCCTGTGGTTGGAGCCCCAGCTGCAGTTGGGGCCCCTCTCCCAACTCCGATGACCACATAAAATATGCAATAGCACGACACACAGAGTCGCATACAACCCATATCTTTCCACTTGCTGGCATTTAAGTGGCATTTGATTTTGATTTGAAAATGGTACAATGGGTACAACAAAAGATTATTGCACCTTGGAAACGAAAATAAATTTAAAGGGAATCGGTGGTTAAACGTTTTCCCAAACAAAGGAAATCAATTAAACAAATCTCTTACGCCATGTACCTCAACCCAATTCCAAAATTTCAAGGCAAACTAAAGCCCAATCGCTAGTCCTATGCACGAATAGCGAATGATTGATACACAATTGGAAGGACACACAGGCACGAATCAGAGTTGTATGCTCAGTAAGGAATCCCGAAGCTTAAGCATCCCCTCAGATTCGCAATCGCTCAGTGCATGATGCAGCCCAGTGGAAATGCAGAATTTCAGGAATGCCGCAGAGAGTGGAGTGGAGCGGCATCTGGGAGTTGTTTCTGTTGTTTCTGGTGTTTGGTCCATGCCGCTGCCAGGGAGGCCGCTGTAACCACAGCCAAAACAAACCCGGGGAAACAAACACCAACACACTGTACCTCCCAGATACCACCTCTACGAGTAGCAAGCAGCAGCAAGTGGGATCCCTGTTTGGCTGTCTCTCCCTGTGGTTGGGCATGGAGGCGCCACAGTCAACTGATGTTGATGCTGATGCCACCCAGTTAACTGGTTGTTACCTCTGCCTCTGTTTGTTGCACTTGTCTGAGCGTACAGTTTGTGGTCTCGTTTTGTAATTAAGTTGAAATTTCTTCCTCTAATCTCTCATCTCTCGCTCGCTCTCTATCTTTCTCTCTGAGGTTCTTTTTCTGGTTGAATGACAAATAGTTATGGGTGAGAAACTTTAAGTGCTCGGAGCACGGTAAGTATTCATAAAAAAAAGATGAGCAAATCCTTTGATTTGTGTGCGTGCCGATCCCAAATTGCTTAATATCCCACCGCACGCACACCGGGCCACTTGACCCAATTTTTAATCACTTTGCAAGCACACATGCTAACCTCTGTCCATTCTGTCCGCTGTTCTGGCATAAATTTGTGTCTTAAAAGTTGCCTCGTAGCCCAGGCAAAAGTTTCGGCTGCACGTTTTAAGCTGCCCCAGCAGAGTCAGAGTCCGAAACAAGCTTAAAAATCTGTACGAAGCCAAAGCGGCACAAAGGTAAACTAGCCCGAAAATCGGAATTCGAGATGGGATTTTCAAGTGGAAGTAATCGTATAAAGAGTAATCCGAATAGAGAATACAGAAACATACTGTGTATACATATATATATATTTAACATGTTTAATAAATATAAATAAATATATTTATTAACTTTATTTCTGTTTATCGCAATTGAAGTATTTTTAGCCTCTTAGTAAAATTCTGGCACAGCCTTCATCATTTTATTTAAGCTTGAAAATATCCCGAATAAAATCCACTTTGTGTCCCAATCTTTTACTTTTAACATTTCTCACATTACCATCTCTAGTTTCATTTGCATCTGTGCAATTTCTAGGGTAATTTCTGCGTTACAAAATATTCTAAAAACACATTTGCAGAGACCAAAACAGGGGCGTCGAGGCCAATTGTGTGATCCCTGTTCTGTTTCTGTTTCGTTGTGTTGTGTTGTGTGGGCGCAAAAAGTTTTTAACAATAATAAGCAAATGCTCAAAAGCAGTGCCAGGAGTGGAGTCTCCCTCTCTGTCTCTCGTGCTTCAGTGTTGGCTTCAATTGCCAACACTAAAAATCCAGCCAAAAATGTATATATATATATATATTTCTCTGTGGTGTGGTTGTTGTTTGGTGCAAATACGATTAAATATGGCAAAAGTTGTGCGTACACACACGTCGGCAATTTTATTTAGATTGCGAAAGGACCAAAAACAGAGTCAGGAACTGAAACAGGAGCAATGACAACGACACATTGAGGTCGTTGTCGTGGGGCTCTCAAAAATTGTACGAATACTCGTGTGGGGGTGTGTGTGTAGGTGTAGGTTTTGTGCTAACAAGGCCAACACATGTTTTTGTGTGTGCGGGCCATGGCCAAAAGCACAGCAATTCTGTTAACAATTTTATTATTAAAATGATGTCAGTGTTTCAGTGTTTGTGCGGGGCGTTTGGTGTCGGCTCCTCCTGTGCCCAAAAATTGACCACAAATGCATTAGTGGCGGCCTCCTGCTGCTGCTGCTACTGCTGTTTCCACTTTCACCTACTTTCCAAGTCGAATTATACAAAAATTTCAGCAACCCTTTGGGCTCTGTGCCCGCCGCCTGCATGTATAAATAAATGTGCGGAGCTTGACAATTTCTCCCTCTACATCTCTCTGTATGATAATCCCCGGCTGACCTACAAGTTGTTGGACAAGCTTGTTGCACTGCTTATGGCATAATTCCTTAATTGATATGCGCACTTTGTTTCATTCAGTTTTCTATCTCAAGTGAAATGTTTTCAATCGATTTATTTTGGGATCCCGTGGGTTGGATTCCAATACATACTCGTAGTTTTCATTTGAAGATACAATGGTGAATCCATACTTAAATTTTAGTGCATCTCTGAGCTTCTTGATTGCATCACTTATGTAGTTTGAGTATAAGTTGGATTGGAATTAAAGATGAATACTTACATGACTTAACGCAATCCTTATATTAAATATTTTCAGGAGAAAAGTAGCTCTCTAACATATTTATTTGTGTCTGTTCAAATTGTATAGATATCATTATCTTAGCATTTAAATTTTCACTTTCTCTGGCAGCAGTTTTCCACACTTTAGAGCTGCGAAAATGAACGTTGGCTCTAGTATTTTCGTCGTTACAAGCTGATTGTACCAACAACCATTCCAACAGCTCCTGAGCAGTTATTACATTTTACTTATTGCATTTTTGTGCTCTTTGCATTTTCGCTGGAGCTTGCAAAACGATACAGGACTTGGTAGAAAAGGGAAAACGGAGACTGAAAGAAGATGAAGAAATGGTGAGGAAAGGAAGGCACCAGTCAGCATGTGGCTCATATGACATGGGTCGGAATGGGAACCCTATAGCAGAGCAGAGCCCTGTGCTCACAGTGCACTTGGCCATTGTTTGTTTGTTTTTACAACTCTGATTGAGATGAAATTGCATATTTCTGTGTGCTTCTTTCATTTCATTTCGCACAAAGCTCCACCATCACTGTAGATTCGCCATCTCTCCCATGTATCGCTCCTTACTCTTACCTTTTCCTTTTTCTTTCTATGTGTACCCGTGATATTTTCAAACGTTTTATTGAATGTCGTTTACCGTTTACATTTGCCTCTGCCTCTGCCTGTGCCTTTACCTGTACCACATAACCATCTTCATCGTCTCCCACTTGGCCATCTACCTACCGTTTGGCCAAGACTTATTTCGTCGTCTCCTCACTCTTGGCCCTGCGCTGGCTTTGTGTTTATTGTGCGAATAAATGTCGACAATGGAGTAATGTTCGTGGGAGCGATCAGAAATGCACAAACATACAGTAACACAGTGCTGAACTTTAGCGATACAGAAACTTTATTGAAACTAAACGGAGATTTATGACGGATAAAAGGCACATACATACATACATATATGTAAGCCTAGTGGCACAAATTGAATGAATATAAAGCCGGTTTTCGCAAGATATAAAATAACCTGAAGTGGTTGCTATAACTTTGGGAGCCTCTGAGATTTAAGTAGGACAGTGATTCTCAGAAGAAAATGTTCGGAGTTTGACATTCTATACGTTCTATAAACTCCACAATCTAAAAGCTTGAGCCGGATTACAAATCTTATTTCCAAGTAGGCCTTTTATGATACGTTAGTGGCGAATAACTAACGTAGCCAACACGTTACATTCCGAAGCAACAAACCGAAAGTAGAATAGAACTATAGAAAATAAAAAAAAACATAAACATGCAAAATTTAATACAGAGCCCTGCTCTGCTTTCGATCCTAAAGTATCCGCTTCCGAATTTTCACAATCCAGTTAAAAGCGTTGAAGAACGTGATGCTGGGGTGAAAAGTGTTGGCAGCGGAGTTTTTCCGCTCAATGCCAATGCTTGTGTCTTTGTGCCACGCTCTGTGGCAGTCAAGGCAGATGAAGACATTGCCCCAGTGGATCTCGAACAGCTTAAGCGTCATTTTGAGTCCAAGGATGTGAAGCAGCAGAAGACAAAGTTGACATTGCCTTGGAAGGGATTTCCAAAGCGACCAGATAAAGCAGGTGAGTGAGGCTTCAAAGCATTTCTTTGTATGATGGTGTACACTGCCTCTGTCTCTCTTAGCTAATCCCACCCACGTTACGGCGAAGATAAACGAAGATTACGCCTTCGAAATTAAGTCTGGCGGCAAGCGAGCCAAAAGAGAGATTGCCAGCGCGGAGGAGAAACCTAAAAAAGTCCCCGCAGAAGAGGCCAAAACTGAAGCAGTCACTGTGGCTTCCGTAGATCTAACTCTGGAGGAAAAGCGACTCGAGCACGGAAGAAAAATCGCCTTGGAGGCCCTCAAATTGGTGGAGCAGCGACGCTTGCGCGGACCCTTCGTTGACCCTTCTAAGAAAGCGGAGGCTGGAGAGGTCATCCGCCATATATCGCATTCGCCAGTGCGATTCACTCCAGAGGAGAGGGTGCGCGTGGATAAGCTGCGTGCGGCCAAGAAGGAGAGAATCGAAAGAGTCCTGAAAGAGATGACGCAGAAAAAGAAGAAGCCCTTACAGCAGAAGCCCCAAAAGGAGAAGACATATCAAGAGAAGTGCCAAAACGAGCCAACGTTAAATCAAGTGATGAAGATTGATAGCGACCAGCTACAAAAGGATATCCAATTTGAGATATTCAAGCTGAATCAGCTTAACGAGGCGCTAAAACAGGAAAAGTTACATAACGAGATGATGCAAGAGAAGATGTTGAAACGGGAGAGTCTCCAGCAGGAGATGTGTCAACAGGTGCAGCAGGAGAAGCCGCCGCCTCAGAGGATGATCCAGAAGCGATACTTTGGCCTTCAACGGGCAACAGCGATCATCAATCCACAGTTGAAGACTGCGGTGGATCCAGTGGTGCAGTCAGAGGTCAAAATTGAGGTAAAGCCCGAGGTGAAAACTGAGCCAAAGCTTGAGGTTAACACTGAGGCAAAGTCTGAGCCGGTGGCGAACCTGCCCGCCAGACGTTACATCCCCACAACCAAGGAGTGGGATGAAAAATGTCGTACACGCCAACTGGAACGGCTGAAGGCTTCCGACAAGGAGAATGATAAGTCAAAATCAAACCCCAATGCAACTTTGACCGCCAACAAACCGGTATTGTGGCGCGCCGACAGCAATCGACCTTTGACAGTGTCCAACTCGGCCAAAAACTTACCAGAAATGATCAAATTTGAAAACCCGACAGTAGCTGTAGTCATACCACGCTACATTCCACCCATTCCCATTGTCGAAACAGCCGATTGTGTTTTGGCACGACTGCTCCAGACAGAGAAGCGTCGTGGCAATCTCACCTATGCCCAGGCCCTGCTTAGTCGCCCGCCCGTACAGTTCGAGCCATCGTCGGAAAGTTATCCGCTCGATAACATCATACGCTACACCGCAGAGGAGCTGCTGATGTTGGAGCCACAACCAGAACAATTGCAGACACCGATCCTCCTTGGGACTTCTACAGGGTTGGGATGTCTCTTCGAATAATGGCGATCGAAATCTCAATTTGAAGGGAGCCTGTGCCTGTGCCTGTCCCTTCAACAGCAGGCCCTTCCTGCCGACACTGCTTATAAAATATGTTTCGGTTTTGTTCATAAGTTTGCTGACATTTTGATGATTTTTCTTAATTTTCCCCTCATTTGCATTTGCATTTGCATTTTACATTTCCGTTGACGATGACATTTGCGTCCGATTCCCTTTGAGTTTGTATAAAATTAGGGAAAAATGCAGCTATATAATGTAATAATAATAAACACAATTGCAATCTTTAATGTGAGTTCTAAGGTTTTTAATTAAAACTTTTGTTAGAATAAGATCCATTTTTCCATTTGGAAGACAATCTTCAGATGCAGAAGAAGAGAAGCATCATCTCAGCTAGAATTGCTTTTTAAGAAATTACTCCGTTGCCATTATTTTTAATCTATTTCTCTTGAAAGCTGATAAATTACGTTATTATATTTTTTAATTTATTTTAATTTACGGGATGGTAGCGAGTAACAATCAGCATGCTTGAAAAATTTTTGGAATTTTGTTTTTATATGTTATGAATTCTTTAATTTTTTGGAAGCATGCCTCTTGTCTTTTACCCTCGAGAGAATGATTTTATTTCCCTTAAAGTGAAAAGCTGACATTTTATTCACTTTGAATGCATTTCCCGTAATACACGCATTCCCCCAGCATCCCGGAGACTCCTTCCAGCCGCAGACGAATGGAATGTATAAAATGTAACGATTGAGGCGGCAGACACGCCCAAACCCGCACATCAAGTGGGCGGAGTGAATGGCTTTCAGAGAGTGGGAGTGGGAGCATTGGCTGGCAGCACATAACTCAGTCGAGCGAACGGGAATGAAGGCAATGAATCCTGCTCGTGGGCTGCCAGCAATTAACGGCATAAATTTAAATATGCAATTAACGCAGCAGCTGGAAGCTGTGCAACAGAATAAAGCAACAAATAACCACTGTAAAAGAGGCAGAGAGCAAGGCAGAGTGCATAAAAGAATTGCGAATGAGGGGAGCGACAGAAAATGCAAAATGCAGAAAAGCGAAAGAAAGCTTGAAAAGAGCAGCAGATCAATAGCAGCGGCAGTAATAGAAAACGAAGAGAAACGTAGGAGATCAAAGCAGGAAAGCAGCAGCAGATACGTTTAATCAAAGGGAAGAGGAGGAGGGCATTTCCTTGCAGCAGCGACTAGTAAGAGTAAAGAGCTAAAGATCAATGAATGGAGATTGGTGAAGCAAGCACACACAGAGCAGAAAAAAAAAAAATCAGCGGAAATTACTAATAAATAGCAAAAAAAAATGTTTCTTTTTTAAAACAATTGTCAATGTTTTTATCAATTGCTAATGCTAATTAAATCACAGCAGACATTTTACAAAAACTGAACAGATGGAAAACTGAAAAAAATGCCTACTCTGTCCCCCCAGATCCTAAGATGGGATTGTTTTCATAGGCAGACAAGAGAACGACTGGCAATGGGTAGATACTCGTAGAGTGGTAAAATATATGTACAATAAAATATACCCACGATGAGTACAGCACGATTGCGGGGTAGCATGAGTGAAACAATGCTGGCGACAATAAAAGCCAAAGGTCATTTTAACACATGCACACACCCACCCGCACCCCAAAAACACACACACCCACACCACACGCACACCGAACAGTGAAATGCATTTGATTGTTTGTGCACTTTTTTCATTCGTCAATTTTTTTTTTGGAAAACACAAAAACCAGAGTCAAAAAAAAACACAATTTTCCGCTTTATTTGCAGAAGGCTGGCCGACCTACAACAGACCCGGTGCCATTTCCAGTGCCGGTTCTGGTCCTGTTTCTGGTCATATGATACCCGTACTGCTCCCTACTGCAGTGCCTCCCCCTACCCATGCCCAACCACCAGGAATCGTTGCCATAGCCACACATGTCAATATTTTTGCGCTTCAGCCTGTGTTACAAGGGGCCGCAAGGGATTCGCCCTGCAAAATTTATATCCGAGCAGCGTGGCAGAGTGGCAGCAGCCCTGGCAGTAGCCAGTCTTTACTGATGTGTAAATTGCCAGCTGTTGTTGTTTAATGAAATTAAAACAAATTTTCAACGAAATTTAATATGCAGCTCGAGAGACTGCCACAGGAATAATAAAAATACGATAGTATCCATCATTATTATATTAAAATTATGCCACACAAACAGGGACAGCAGACAGCAAAATTACGATTCTCAATTACAGAGAGAGAAAGAGAGTCAAAAGTCAATGCATCGGGAGTACAGAAGTCAAGTCATCATACGTGCTCATTAACAGCTGGCTGGTAACCGTTATCGTTGCCGTATGGCGCGTTGCCGTTGCCATTCCGTTACCGTTAACCGTACGTACGTTGTCGTTGTCGTTACCGTTACCGTTACCCTTGCGCAAAGCTCAAAGCCAAAGGCTGTTTCCGGTGCACAGCAGGCAAAGAACTTTTCATTTGACATTGCTCCTGCTGCCACTCTCTTTTGCAGTCAGTCCTTCTCTCCTTCCCTGTCTCTCCTCTCCTTTCTTGTGTTTTCTCATCTCTGCTCTGCTCTTTGACTCCCTCTCTCTACACACACTTCCTTTCCATAATCATAACATGGCAATTTTATTCAATTTCCTGGCTTTTGTGTACTCAGGATCTAGAGCAGCGTTTCCAAAAAGAATCAAGGGGAATATACCACTCGGAAATACCCTACTACCATGGGAATTAAATATATTTTTAACGAAAATCTATTTAACAGCATTATTTAAATCGAAAACTACATATGAAAAATTTTAATAGACATCGTTTAGTGTAGCCAAGCATCGAAAATTGTATATTCTGCACCTCCGTTTTTCATCATCTTCCATCTACAAATAGGGTATTCCCGACCAAATTAAATCGCTTCACGAGTCAAAGCCATCAGTAGCACAATTTTTAGTTGTTTTTGTTTCAATGCCGCTGAAATTTTTATAAAATTAACGCACAAACGGAAACATGGCCAGAGGAGCAGACCAAAGTAGAAATGCGGGGGAGGAGCACCATTTCTGTGTGGCCGGGGGAATCGGGGCTTAAGTCAAGCCACTTTTGACTGGACCCGAAACCAGGAAACCAGGAGCCCTGGACCCCGACTTATACACACACACACACACACACACAGAGTGTAAGCTGATTAAAGGCCGCAAGTTGCAACGAAGTGGGGCAGCAGCGGCAGCTGCTCAATTGGCAAACACTTTGTCGCACTAATTAAGCCACTTATAGGTGGTCTTTGGCCAGAGTTTTGGTCTGGGGCCTTGGCTTCGTTTTAGTCGAGCGTGTCACCCAGGCGTATGCGTAATAAATATTGAATGTGCAGCACGAGAAGATAAGCAGCAGGCAGGCAGGCAGGCAGGCAGGCGCAAAGGCAAAAGTTTTGCATTAAGTATTCCCTTTTTCGGATGACTGAGGACTGGGTCACTACGTGAGACTCAAGTTGCCGCTCAAGGAGCGACGTGACAAGGACCAAACATCCCACTGACTTGGCTTAATTTTTGTTCTTCCGTTGCCGTGTGCAAAAGTGTAGATTGTAAAATTGCACAGGGGCGTTTCTTCATCCCAACTCTCTATAATTGCAATAGGTTTTGATTGAGCGGGAGGGTCGTTTACTTAGCATATTAAGTGTATGGTAAATTACCTGAAAATTAACTAACATTTGTGGGGTTGAAGAAAGTTCTATTCGCTTTGGAATTTCACCATCTTTGATGTTCAGCCATCAATGGTTAGCCCTTCTCCAAATGTGTGCATGTATACTGAAATAACTTTATAGCCTTGTCAGCTTCTATTTTTTTGGGAGTAAAGAAACGCAAGTGCAAAGGACGTTGGGGAAGGTGCAGCAGAATATGGCCATGTTGTCACTGATTGTTGTGGCTGTTGCTTAGGTTGTTGTTTGGTTGTTATTGCTAGGCACGAGGCTGGGCGACGCCATCACCATCATTGACATCATTGTCGGCACCATCAACGTTGATGGCTTGTTAAATTGCCAGTTTCATGTTGTTGCTGGTGTTGCACGTGTTTACTAGAGAGTGTGTGTATGTGGCACGTGTGCTCCTCTCCCTGTGCAGGTATGCGTGTCTCGGTCTTGGCTCGCATACATTATGCACATTAGCGTACATTATGAACATGTTCTGTGACCCTTTCAAACGAACAGCACCATGAAAACATGAAAAATCAGTGGCCCCAACAACTGGACGCACCGAGCGACGAAATCGTGACCTGATTGGCAAGCAGCCAAAAAAAAGGAAGGGCTGCAAATGATTTTTGCGCTACTGAAATTAGTCGCCGCCTCTTCCTTCACCCACACATGCTCGCGTTGTACGTTATTTAAGCAAGTTAATTGCTGGAAAACTGAGTAAATCATTTAAGCACCTGTCCAGGCTTGTTGGCCCTCGGCAGGGGCCACGTTTGGTTAAGTGTTTACGTGGGTCAAAAATGCATCACTGGATTCTATGATGTTTCATTATACTTCTCGGAAACAATTCAGTTTTATCCCAGGGAATTACTCCTCTAATATGTAGACTTACCCACCACTCTCGACATACTAAACTCTTTGTAATAATTCACACGAATTTGATCTAGTTGATCCATGTTGAGTTGCAATTATCCCTTGTTAAGAGGGACGCCCGACTGCCAGCTGGAGCTGTCGTCAATTTAAATGCTACTTAAATGCATTTAAATGCGGCCCTCCATTAAGCCCGCCAGTTTCCAGCCAACCTCAAACTATTGTGTGGCCATAATTATCGCACTGAAACTGGCTCCAATCCAACTCCAATCGATGGGCAGAAAAAGTCGCACACAACAATGAATGTTAATTGCAATGGAGAGTGAGAGAGTCTCGCTGTTGGCAGCCTTTACTGGAAATTATGCTGAAATTTACGCGCTCAAATTATGTTTAATAAATGTATTACAATAACAGCAACATTCTGCCATTAAGTGAAGCCGCAAACTGTTAGTGGGAGAAAAATGGTAGCCGAGGGTTTTCCCATGTGCGGTTCGGAGCAATAAAAAGATCAGCCACTGACTGTCCCTGTCCATGTCCGTCCGAGAGGCTTAAACAGAGGCAAAGCGAACACGAGGCAGAAGTCATCAACAGCAAATGGAAATGAAATATTTTTTAATGAAGCATTGTCATATAAATTATCCCTTTCAGTCTCTGGAGAAACAAGAGGGAAGTCCAGAAGAGGATTAAAGGTTTTAATCCATAAATTACAGTGAACTGTTAATAAGGATTTTAACCGTAGT